CGTAAGACATATCTGATTCTAATCTTCACCATTATAATACAGCATATTTTAAAGCCTTGGTTATCAGCCAGAGATGATTTGTACCCCCAAGGGACATCAAATAATGTGTGGAGACATTTTTGGTTGTCACAACAGGGGTAGGGGGTGAAGGGTAGGGGATAGGGAGGAATTATCTTATATACTTCAATCCTTCGTGAGTTCAATGTCAGAACAGCTCTAGGGTACTAAAGAGACCCAGCTTCTGAACAGAGGCCAATGCACCTAAAGGATGCCACCCTTGAGGCACCCTAAAGACCCAACTACCTTGGACCTCTTGGGAATCTTGATTAAATGCCCATGAAAAATCAATAGTAGCTGAGCTAGATCCCTGTTGCATCCTCCTGGCTTATGGCAAGTCATCCTAACTGGTCTCTAGGAAGACACGAAGTCTAGGCCAAGTTAAGAGACAAGTGAGGAAAGCGTGGGCTTGAAGTCTTTCATGAGAACCAAACCTTATCACCAAACCAAACATATGTGAGTCACTCTTCCTGTATGATAGGCAAACAGCTTCAAGACCTAGGGAATTAGAAGTGGGTTAAATAACAACTCCAAGAGACAGCCATTTGCCTGACACATAGGGGCTATCTCAACCCCCAGTAGGTGCCAAAGTTTCACAATACTCCTTGAGCTCCACACTTCATCAATGTCCACCCCCGACAACATGAGTTCTTCTGTGCTTCCTGTTTCACTCCTGACATGACAAATAGACTTCGTGCGGCCTGAGACATGAGACACGTTGGCCACTCATGACAATTCCCTCTGCCTCAATCCGCCATGGCTGCTACTGCAAACAACTGGTAGGGGGGTGGGTGGGTGAGCTCAGGTCCACTCACCCCCGCTCTACTCAACCTCCATCCCCCACAGGACCCAAGTTTTACATCTCGAGTTTTAGAGACATAAATTTAGAAACTATACTTCAGAAATCCCTAAACTACAATTTAGAAAGGGTGAGAGGAAGGAAGAACTGGGAGCCCCACTGAGGTCTCTCCACAGCTCTCCCGAGGACACTGAGGTCTTGCTATGTCCTGATACCCAAAAACCTATTTGTCTTTGCATGCAGTGTCCCTCGGATCTCAGGGAGTGGGGCATGTCATACCTCCACGAAAACCCCACTCGATTGAATACTGAGTGAAGAAAAGGATAGACCATGGCACTTCGGGGTGCAGACACACCTGTCAATGTTCCAGACTCAGAATTCACGTGGTATCCTAATAAGGAGATGCTGCTGTTATGGAAAAGAGAATCCACTCCATCTTGAAAACATGAAAAGATAAACTTCTTACTCAGCCAGCCACATACTGGAACCTTGGGATACGCAGGAGAGAATTATGCCTTGTCTTAGCCGTAAGGGGTACCAGTCTGTAATCCACATAAGGATGTGGGTAAGGCAGACCACATCTGTGGACTGTGGAACAACACAGGCATGAGCCCCATGTCCCCATTTTCTTTATTTAAATATTATTGGAGACTAGATAGACCTCCTCCTTCATTTTTTCTTTCTGTTTTTTTTTTAAGAGATGGGGTCTCACTATGTTGCCCAGGCTTAAGTGCAGTGGCTATTCACAGGCATAATCAAAGCTCACTGCAGCCTCAAACTCCTGGGCTCAAGCAATCCTCCCAGCCTGGCCTCCTAAGTATCTGGGACTACTGGCACATGTAACTGCACTCCAGTCCTCCTTCCTTTTTCAGTTATTTTAAATATTTATTTCAGTTATTTTAAATGGATTGGTCTTTTAAGAGGATGGTTTACTTCTGTGCTGTCCATGTTATATTCTATTTTAATTGTTATGCCATTTTTCTCTTATTTCTAACTTTGTAGCATCTAAAACATCTCAGTAGGAAGGCATTTCCCCATGAAATAATTAGTAGTAGTAATAGTAGAAGTAACTACATATAAGGTCTTAATATACTTCTATGTGGGATGTGTTTTCACTTAAGTTATATTTTATTAAATAGCTGGATCTCCCTAAAAGCAATTTAAGACCTCAACAAAGGGTATCTTGAATATAAAGGGACAATAGGGTAGATCAGAGTAGCTTCCTCTAGGAAAAATGACCAACCCTGAAATTAATCACTCAAATAGCACCTAGAAATTCTGAAAGCAAAACCTTAAAGGTACAAACACTTAAGATGCTGAATATGGTTGAAAAGCCAGGCCATGGGGTGGAGCAGCGAGACCTCAGGTTTGGAAAACCAATGGACTGAAAAGGAGCGCAGTGGCTGTGCGGCTCTGGGCGAGTCCCTTGGCTCTTCCGTAAAATGAGCAAAACCAGCCTTTTGCATCCTCCTGAGCAAGGGATACAAGGTGTCCGGCCTAGGGCACAGCATATGACAAGGATTCTGGTAGATGTGCGGTGTGGGATGTTAGCTGCCCCATCATGGATATGAGAAGAGCATTCCACTGGCTAAGAGGCAGATGTGAATGCTCTGGAACATGGCAATCCAGGACTACGCAGTGAAAGCAAGAAAAGAAAGACCAGGCAGGGATGAACTAGCTGGCTAAGGAGGAATGAACTGAAGCCAAGAATGCCCACAGAGACTTGGCATGTGAGAGCCAATGCTGTGCCAAACAGCCCAAAGCCTTCTGAATGAGCTTTTGCTGCAACAAAAAAACTTTAGATCATTTTGAGTATCTCCCGTGAGGTGCCAATATGCTGCAGTACCTTCCCGGCCCTGATGCTGATAGGATCTATCCCAGATAAAGTATGAACACACTTGAGCTGGCTAACAGCTTGAAAAACTGGAGTTGATCAAGCTGACCTTGAGAAACACAAGGAAATGCTATTGAATAATATGCCAGATGAAATCCCTGCACAGAGATGTGACCTAAAGAAGGACCTGAAGGAAAGCTGACCAGCAAATGTCAAGGGTGAGGAAGTGAGGGGAGGCTGAGGACTGAGCCCAACAACGTAGGCCACCAAAGGAAGGTATTGGGACTTCGCACACTCTCTGCATTATTAATAGTGCAATGATGCAAGATGCTAATGACAGTGTCTGCTGCTACATTTGAGCTTCCAAAATCATAATCTAGGGGAAATGAAGATCACAGTATAATAGCATACACAGAGAACAAGTGAACAGATGAGAGATGATGAATGGGTTGAGGTTCTTCAACCTACAACCTATAAAATCTAATTTAAACATTTGAAATGGCATGTGAGCATTAGTTTTGTTTCCACTCTTGTTTCCTTTTCCCATGTCCCTGACAGTGAATGTTTTTGGATAATTCTTTCTCTGGGATTGCTGCTCTACGTCAAGGTCCTACACAGAAGAATAGAACGACACAGTGATAAATTCTATCATGTGAAACTGACTCACAATGACCCAATTCTGGCTCAAAATGCAAGAAAGAGAGACTAAATGGTGGGTCTTTAAGATCATTCCACCCAATCTTCTTCATTACAGATGAGGAAACTGAGGCACCAAAAAGAGAGACATGCCCAACATTCCACCAATTAGAGTAAATCCAGGAATTTCTGTCTCTATGCAGCAAACAACACTTAAAATAGAATAAAGGAAGATTAATCTGTTCTCATACATACTGTATTCTAGGAAAAGAAGAGGATAACTTTATCTTCCAAGATAGTTTTAAACATTAATATCATTGCACAATATGGTTACTACAATATCACTAAGGCCACTGGGATTGCATGTTTCTAGTTTAAAATATAACATTAAATGGGCAAAGTTTTACAAGTTTAACACTCCCTGATACTAGACAACAGTTGCCTGTCTACACTGTCGGTGGAATGGAAATTGAAGTAACATGACTACACAGCAACTGGGAAACTGGTATCAAAATTTTAAATGCATATGCCCCTTGAATCAAAGAGTCACCATTTTTGCAAGTTTACACTGATATCTATGTTTCTTTGATTAAATCTGTCCTCCACAATAGGCTGAAAGCTTGAGAAAGACAGTGAGGATGGCTGTTTGTCCTAACAGTAGACCTCAGTAGACCACAGTCATGCACTTTATAAGTAAGTGAATGAATGACAAGTGAATGAACAAATGCAGCATATACTTTACAATGAAGCCCAGTGATCGTGTTAAAAGAGCAATCAGTTCACATCACTCTCTAGCTCACACCCTCTCACGTCTTCCTGGAGACACTACCAGACACCCTCCCACCCCCACTGGCACCTCTTCTACTTCTTCCCATTCCATTTGGCTCCAGCCACACCAGCTTCCCTGACGATCCTCGAATTCTCCCATTGTTCCTACCACTGTGCCTCTGCACTTGCCGCTCCTACTGCTAAGAAAGTATCTTCCCTGACCTTTGCATGGCTTACTGCTTTACTACATGCAGGTCTCAGATCAAATGTCACCACTTTGGAGGGCTCTCTGCTGAGCACCCATCTGAAAGAGCTGCACTGACACTCCCCATCTCTTCTTCTTGACTCTATTTATAGCAGCCTGACTTTATGTTAAGCATTAAACTTGAATACCCCTTTACAGTCTGTTTTTCTTACCTAGAAGGTAAGCCCATGTGGGCAGGGATTCTGCTTTATTTGATGCTACACCCTTAGCCTTCAATAAATGTTTATGCAGGGACACATTAACACCAACATCTACACACACAGAGAGAAGAGCAAAAAACCAGAGATAGGATTAAAGCCCACTCCCTTCTAATCTTGAAAAACATGAGATAACAACCTCCCAGTTGCATTCATGGGTGTTAACCACATTTTATTTTTCTTAATAAATGAGTTCAATGAGTAAACATTTCCAAACCACTGACTAATAAAGTAGATGACACTGACAATGAACTATAAACAAATGTACGGATAATAATGGGCCTGCTCATCCTTTCACTCATAAAATAAACAAAGTGAAGATGACTTTAAAAATAAAGACATTATTCCAAAAGCAATAAACTGTACATACTACACAAAAATATCCATGTGTTTAGCCCAACATGTGTATTAGACAATTAAAAACAAAAATAGTCAAGTACTTACCCATTCTTCTAATATGCGTGACACTGCTTCATTGGCCCTTGCCATGTTCCTACAGGCCAGGATCACGTGTGCACCATGGAGGGCAAAAGACTTGGCAGTTTCAAATCCTGTGGTTTAAAGGAAAGCCAACATTAGAAAACACAACATCCACACATTGAGTCTTGTTCAGTGGCCTCTACTGAGCACCATTTGCATTATCCCGGTAGTTCTCAACTAGGGGCAATTTTGCCCCCAGAGGGCAGGTACAAATGTCTGCAGACATTTTTTCAGTGGCCACAACTGTGAGGAAGAGTGCTGGCCAGGAACAGTGGCTCACACCTATAATCACAGCACTCTGGGAGGCCCAAGGCTTGAGCTCAGGAGTTCGAAACCAGACTGAGCAAGGGTGAGACCCCGTCTATACTAAAAATAGAAAAAAATTAGCCGGGTGTGGTGATGCGTGCCTGCAGTCCCAGCTACTTAGGAGGCTAAGGCAGGAGGATCGCTTGAGCCCAGGAGTTGAGATTGCTAGTGAGCTAGGTGACACATGTTTTCAGCACCTCCGATCCCACCAAGGGTAGCCTAGGTTTCTTAGACCCACCCTCCTACTAAGAACAATTAGAAAACCTGGGCAAAGTAAGACACACTTGCATGCACATGCGTGTATACACACAGACACACATCTGTTTGAAGGCATCAGAAGGACACAATGACTGAGAAATGTTGTGGCCAAGATCTGAAGAAGTTGAAAGGCCAGCATTTGGCAGCTTTTTCTCCCTCAAGGCATATTCCAGTTCCAAAAGTAGTAGTTGAGAACCTGACAAGATGGGCTGACATTCTGGCAGTTTCACAGCAGGAAAAAGACATAAACTTGAGCTTAGGGCCCTGGTAAATAAACCAAACTTTTGGTTGGGGTCTTAAAGGGATACTTGGGAGGCTGAGACAGTAGGATCGCTTGAGCCCAGGAATTAGAGGTTGTGGTAAGCTATGATGGTGCCAACAGCACTCTAGCCTGGGGGTGACAGAGCAAGACTTTGTCTCAAAAAAAAAAAAAGAAATCAAAGAAATCCTGCCATTTGTGACAACACAGATTAACCTGGAAGACATTATGCTGAAATACGCCAGACACAGAAAGACAAATACTACATGATACCTTTTATATGAGGAATCTAAAATAGTCGAACTCACAGAAGCAGAGAGTAGAATGGTGGTTGGCAATGGTTGGGAGAGGGGGAAACAAGGAGGCAATAACCAAAGGGTACAAAGTTTCAGGTGTGCAAGATGGAAAAGCCCTAGAGATCTTCGTTCAGCACAGTTCCCATATTGTCTACTTAAAAGTTTGCAAACAGGGTAGATTTTATGTTGTGTTCTTATCTCACACATACACATATACAATAATAACACAGAGGGCAGGAAGAAACTTTTGAAGGTCATGAATATGTTTATCTCATAAATTGTGACTATGGTTTCACAGGCATATACACTTATCTCCAAACTCATCAAGTTTGTACACATTAAATATGTATGGCTTTTTGTATGGCAATCAGACCTTAATACAGTGATTTTTAAAAATTAAAGATAAAGAACAGAACAGAGATCCTACAAACCCTAAGAAGATCTTAAGGTATGGCGCACAACTTCATACCAGTAAATCTACAATATAGGTTAAAAAGACAAATGCCTAGGAAAATCCTGTAACACTAAAAAATTGTCACAAGAAGAAACAGAAAAACTGAAAAGTTCCCTATATTTTAAGAAAATGAAGGAAAAGGCAGAGGAGGGGAAGGTGGAAGGAGAAGGGAAAAAGAAGAGCCAGTCTAATTCCATAGGTTAAACCCCAAACCATCGTTCTAAACTGGAAAACACATTTTGTAAACTGTGGCGGAAGACCAGAGTACAACATGGGACAACAAAGTGATCAGTTCTTCTAGGGAAGGTAGCAATGTAATTCAGCCAAATCCATGTCAAGTGACCACAAATTAATGTTTCCAAGATAATGTTATTATGTATGGAAAACTAGAATATCATTATCTTACTGAGATCACCATGTCAAAGATGCCAGTAGAGTTCACTCATTCGTATCACTTCCACAGATCTAATCTTCATGGAGAACAGTCTATTTATGTAACCTACTTCTCAAGGGAAGTCGGCACAGCACAGAGAAAAATTCAAACTCAGGAGCTGGACACACTTGTGTTGATGTCAGCTTTAACTACCTACCAGCTGTGAGACCTCAGGTTGCAAGTCTAACCCATCGGAAACTCAGTTATCTATTCTCTAAAATGGGGAATGAGGGATAAACATGTACTAAGAGCCTAACATAACCATAGTAGGTGGGAAAAAGATGTTAGTTGCCCGTTCTTTCCAAAATCCTGGTGTCCTAATCCTATGCATCTTATCTGATTTGTATGATCTACCAAATACAGCACAGTCACTATGACTAAAAAATTAAAACTCTCTTAGACAGCAGTGGTGACTATAATTCCAGCTATAATTCTAGCACTTTGGGAGATTGATGCAGGAGAACTCTGGAGGCCAAGAGATCAAGACCAGCCTGGGCAACATAGCAAGACCCCATCTCTAAAAAAAAAAGATTTTTTTTTAATTAGCTGGGCATGGAGGTGCATGCCTTTTGTCCCAGCTGCTAGGAAGGCTGAAGTGGGAAGATCATTTGAGCCCAGGAGTTTGAGGTTGAACTGAGCTGTGATTGTGCCACTGCACTCAAGCCTGGGGGATAAAGACTCTGTCTCTTTAAAAAAAAAATTTAAAGCTCTCTCCTAGATCTGAAGCTGAATGGCTTAAATATCAACTTGAATGCAAAGAAATAAGCTAGAGCCTACCCCCTTCCATTTGCCCAAATACTGGCTCTGGAGCACAATTGAACTTCAATGTCGAGACGACCTGAAGTTATTTTTTAAGATTTTACCAAACTCTGTATTCCAAAATATCCACTTATGACCTAAGGATGACTTAGATGCTAAAACAATGCATGAGGGATTTCAAATCTGAAATATTTAACACTTCAATCTGTTTGCCTCCTCTTTGGTGTGTGTAGTAAAAGGTATGAAGCCCCATCTCCAAGCTAGGAGGCAAGACAATGATAAAATGACAATAGTCTGAAATTCACTCATCTTTACCTGTGATGCCAATATTACCTCTTATCCCCAGTGAGCCAAAGGCACCTAGATCACTTTGGAGAAGGGAGAGAAGTAAAACACCAGGTTTTGGAGCCCAGCTGTTCCCACACCAGCTGGGGGCAGGCACAGGACAAACTCTAGCTAACTGATGCACCCCATCAATCAAGCTAATGAAATGGAGGAAACATGAAGCAGCCACACACCACCTCTCTTGTAAGCCTTATGCACCAGAAGACCTAGAGAAGATGGTGGATTCTGGGTTCCTTTGAAATTTCCAGGTCAGTGCAGCGATCAGAAATATTTTCTTTCACATTCTCATCAGAGGGTATTAAAAGAAAAAATGATGTAGGAGACTGGGGAAGATGGTACACACATATCTTAGTCATTCATTAGCAATCATATTTTTAAAGGACTGAGAGAGTACTGATAGAATGCAAGGCCAGGCAGGCCCCAGAGCTTTATTTATCCCACTTCCCAGGGTAACGGTAAACTCCCTGAGCCTTCTGCCCTTTACATCTCTGTATTTCACAGAACTAGCACCCTGTAGTATTCAGGAACTACCTGCCAAGAGAATGAATGGTTCTTGTAGACTGCTAAGAGACTGCAATTCTGGACTATTTTAAAACAATCCAAGTTGTTTCAAACTGCAACTCAGATGGCCTTCTAACTTCCTTTTTAATAATGAATAAATATTAAAACCCTGCAAAGATACTACTCCCCACAGTTTTGAATGACACTGCCAAGAAATCTGTGGGGGAAAAAAGCACATCATTTTTCTATCAGGTTTTATTTTCTCAAACAAACCTGTTAAAGTCACACAATCTCACTTGACAAAACAACCTACGGCAAAGGACTTTTTATTACCAAAAGGGGCACATCTGATACCACAGCAGCAACAGGCTTGAGGCACGGGCCCTTCTCTCCTTAGAGAATTCTTGACTGTATTCATGGGTAAGGGGTCTGTTGCTGTGTCTTATGAAATTATACTCTGGATCTTAAGTCTTCCTTTATCTAAGCAACGAATTACACGTTGCTAGTCTACTTTGAAAAGCTGCACTAGACAACTCCATTTTCTTATTCTTTACAATTGCCTTTGGAGCAAAAACAAAGCACATCTATTTCAAAAAAGATGATGGTTTAACAGGAAGGACAATAACACTTTTATAGTAAACCATATCTCTGGAGTGTAGCATTTTATAAAAAAAAAAAAAAAGTTTAATAATGCTACCTACTACTAAAGTCCTGGATAAAGCCCATGAGAATAGCATCCCTCACTCTCGTAATACTGCAGCTGATGGCCAGTTTAATTAGCTAAATGTAGTAGTGCTAAGCCAATTCTGCACAGTGCCAAAGTTTGTGCAAAATAATGAAGGCAATGGTTTACTAAATTTAATAACCTGATTCATCTTATAAAAAATTAACTTTATGACAATGTTTAAATTGAACCAGCTTAACTGCATGGAGATAGCAAGAGTGTGTTCAGAAGAATATTTAAAGCTAATAATATAAAGAAAATAAAGGAAGACATTTTAAAACAATGGGCAACATCAGTTTTTCTAGCACTGTTACATCTGATGGATCAGAAAAATTCAGTGAGTGCAGGGGTTTAATATCTCACTGTCTTTAAGCTTTCAGTACAAACATTCAAGTACTATAAAATGGAAAAGGTATCCCCCAAAATTAAATACCTGCTTATCTTACCCTAGTTCTCACTCTCTAGAATAGAGCTCATAAACTAGTGATCACAGGTAAGTCAAGTCCACTGACCTGTTTTCTTTGGGCCACACTGTGTCTTCCTTCTTCTATCCCTCCTTCCTCCCTCCCTACCTCCCTCTTTCTTCCCTACTTCCTTTCATTCCTCCCTTTCTCTCGCCTGCCCTCTCTTCCTTTTTTTTTTTTTTTTTTCAATATTACGCCATAAGATCTTCCTTCCTTCCTTCCTTCCTACCCACATTAATTGCCAGCATTAAAAAGTTGGGGAGCTCACATAA